AATTGGTTAACAATACACATTGAACAATTGGATAGATAATAGCTATTAATGCATAAATACTTCTGAAATAATAACAACAAAACTTTTAATAATATTGTTTATCGTAAACTTACTTTTATTTTTCGTACTTGAAATGTCATTTTATTAAGGTAAAATATTTAATTACTGAATGTGTGAATTTTCGGAAGGTATGATACGTTAGATCGAGTGATACGAAAGGAACCACAAAGGATCTCTGAAAATTATTGAATGTAAAAGTTTCGTTGACAACAATTATACGCTAGAAAAGTTTAATAAAGCTTCTATCCCTCAAGTAGCATAGTTTAACGTTCCAAGAATGCTGATCATTAGTATATTACCTTATACTGAATCGAACATTAAATAAAATGATAAGTTACAGATTCTGTTGCGATGAATTTTATACTAGTGATTTTAATCAAATGCTCCTTCAAAATTAAAAAATTAAAAAAGCGTTTCTGGCGTGGAATAGCACATTTAGAACCAAAGAACATATCGAATACAACCAATCATACCCTAACACTATGCAGCACTAAGCTAAACTCCAGATGCTTTAAAACCGTGTGCAGTGTTGTGAATAAACAACTGCTAAATTTAGTTAAAAGCTTATTGACATCTCATTAAACTTGCATCATAAACAAACAATATACTTTTACAAAATACATGTTTTTTATCAGCGAATGCAAGGTCGAAACATTATTGTTTACAAGTAGCGCTTATTATAGAATTCGTTTCAAATTATTGACGGGTTTTGTAGCTCATAAAAAAATCCTTGTATTGTCAATAAAATTACTCTTTCTTATAGAAATTGCGAAAATGACTAGGAATTTCATGTATAGCAAATTAACTAAAATATAACAGTACTGTACATACAGAATGAACAACACTCAACATAATATTAGATGTAATCAAAGAGGATTTAAGGAACAGTGTATAGTATGTGATATATTTTTTACCAGTCAGAAAAAAACAACAGCATAATTTTATAGTTAGGCCAATTAAAAGCTTCATAGTATGTTTGAGCTATATTATAGTATATCGACAAACAACAAACAAACATAATGCACAAGTAAGAGTTATAGTAAGTATTACGGCTTTACACAATGACATATTCTAAAATACCTCTCTATATACTGTTCACTGGTAGATATAACTACCTTAGTAACATACAAAAAAATCATTATATTGATAGATATCCCAATTAGTTTTTAAGCTGTTTAGGACTTGTCTCAGAAATCTTCTACGTACTTATCGTCTTAAGGAATTTATGACCTGAATAATTCTGGAAATCTTCAACATATTTATCGTTTTAAGGATTTCATGAACTTAACATTTAGCTACTCTGTCAACCGCCAAACAGGAAGAATAATAGTAGATATTTTTTTGCTAACACATGGCTCAACCAGAAAACAGTTAATTGATACACGTATTAACCAGCACATCAGTCATCTTAAAAATCCAAATTAGCACCTTAATCGCATAATTTAAACTTTTAGGAATACATTGTCTTGTGGAAGTTTTTGCAACTTCCTTCTTTTGATGTAAACTCTTATCAGGGTTAATTCCCTCTATTCTATCACTTCAAAATTCGGGTCGGCTAGTGTCAGTGAGTAGGTTTGTGCGAAATTCAAAAAACAAACGAAGAGAATTTTGTATTCATATTTTTCCTAAAATACTTTCTTCGAGTTATTTCTTCAAAATATTGTGTTTTTCTCTTTAATAATGCAAAGATACCAAATTATAATATAGACAAATGGATAAATAATAAACATATTTGATTTCTTTCTGTTAGCATGTGTTGATTATTGTTTATTCGTCATTTTCTGCTACACCTGTATTTTGTTGTACTATCTAATTCTACAAATACAACGTAGCCAAATGTCTTTAAAATATATTACTCTCGATATTTTACTTTTTGTTGAACAACTTTTTTTGTACTTGACTTTATATTAGAAATAAGGTTGTTTCAGATTATTTTTAGTTAATAATAATAATAATTTTTTGCTGCATAATTCCCAATAGATGGCTCTTCTGTAGTTCGTTTTCCAGCCATTGAAAATTAAGTTTTCATGTACTCTTTATAATGACTAATTTTTGCTAATTGCAATAGCAATAGCTACTTTATCAACTGTTTAAATTCTGCTTCGATCGGTTGTTTATTTTCGATATAATTAACACTAGATAGTGAGGAAGCTCATTTCCAGATAGTGTTTTATTTTTCTGCCCAAGAATTCACACTAGATAGCGCTAAAGTAGTTTATTTTTCATCCATTCAGCATTCACAATATTATGTTGTAATATTTTGTTTTCCTTTCATATTGTATTACTAGATGACGTTGGATAAAATGTATTTTTCAGACAAAAATAATTCCTACTAGATAATGCTGCAATATATACTAGAAAGTATTTCGAAGACTGTTGTGTTGTAAAATATTGTCTCGCTTTAGATATTTATTAAACACAGAGATATTAAGAGCACAACTTTATTTGCTAATTCCAACAAACATGCAAACACTTTTTAATTTAGTTTCTTTTTTGCCAACTTGAAAGCTGCTTACTAAATCCCACCTTAGAATACAACTATTAACCTATTAAACTTAATTCAAACACTTTCCAATGTTCTGTTTTTTTCTAGCACCACTTTTTTAAACCATAGTGGAAACACCAAATGAAGGATCACATTCCCGGGCTGGGCGAGGCCTAGTGGTAAGCGTGTCGGACTGTAAACGAAAGTTCCAGGGTTTGAAGCGTAATGCTGCTAAACACACTTCGTAATTTCAGTCGTGGGCACGTAATAAGTGTGGTAGTCAATCCCGTTACATGGTTCACAGAGCTAATCAAAACCCTTATGGTGGTGGATGCTGGCTGACTGTCTTTCATCTGGTCACGTGTGCATAAGGTGCTGTTCATGATGCAAGTTCCAATTCTAATATACAATTTCCATTCGTCTCCGACTCCCACAGTGGTAATATTTATTAGACTGACTAGCCTAATCATTCTAAGGCTTATACATGTTTTTCAAAATAAAGAATAATGCACATAAACGAACTAATGTAATTTCCCAACAATTAAACACATACACTATAATAAGTCAGTTTGAAAAGCCCACAACCTTACAAGTGAGAGTAATAAACTGTTAAATAATACAAACTAATACTAGAAATAAACGACCTTATAACGCCAAAATGTTGTTTTTATTTAATTAGGCACTCAACGTTTCGCTCTACAGCTTCTTCAGGAGCGTTCACTAAAATACAAACAGAAACTGACACTACAAAGCTTCAAATGAGCGTTCACTAAAACACAAACCGAAATTGACACTACAAAGCTTCAAATGAAGAAGCTGTTAAGCGAAACGTTGAATGTCTAATTAAATAAAAACAACATTTTTGTGTTATAAGGTTGTTTATTTCTAGTATTAGCATGTCTTCTATACACCAATATGCACTACAGAAAAATCAATAATGGGTAAGATACAAACATTGATAGAATCAGAAACTCAGAAGGCTCGGGGACTTTTAACTGGTTCTTATGATAACTACTTCTTAATACTTCAAAGAATAAAGTTATCTTTAGATATTTTAATACAAAAACTACTTTGAACAAAGGAGAGTCAAATATTAATAGTTCACTAATATTTTAAAAACTTACTAACATATTATACCTTTAACTAAATTTTTACACAAAACAAAAGAGATTCATAAAACTTAAATGTGGTTAGAGACTTTTAATATGCTCAGGCTATGTGAGTGTGTTCAATATCGAAACTATCGATATTTTATATACGAATTATAAGTGTATACATTAAAATAAAGGCATTTCATGTATATATGCCATGATATTTGTAGCTTCTACTGCAAGGGAGATACAAGACATAATTATTGTCGCTAGAGGAAAGTAGACATATGTTACATACACTAGAATTGAGCTCGTGGTTGACAGAATTAAAAATCACCTTCTTAATAAAGCTGGCAAACAGAAAGTTAACAAAAAAGATTTGTTTTGCAAGTTGTAATATGAATTAATCTCAAATCAACAGGAAGCTGATATAACCTAAGCTGCAAGCGGGAATAATTTATGTTTCGTCCTTAAATAAAAGTGGAACAGAATGTTGAAGTCAGTAGATACTGACAGATAGATAGATAGATAGATAGACCTCATGGTTTTCCATCTAAGATTTTAATACTTTATTACTGGATAAGTTACAAGCTTAGAAAAGAACAATAATTTGTTAGCTGCAATTTTGACAACATATTTTCTTGTATTTCTACATATTATACGTTTAAACACAATATTATAGAATACAAAACAATATTACGGGTGTGTTCCTATTTATATATCGGATCTTAAATCTGGTTATATAAATACATATAAAATAATGTAAATGTTAAGTTGTAACGTGAATTAACAATTGGATCATGCACGCCGGCCCTTAAAGAATTGAATTATACATATAACCTTGTAAGCATATCGAACGTTATAAAGTTAACTCTCAAGTGCTGATTTTCGTTAAATCGACTTTTATAAACGTCAGCCCCACTGAGTTAACTCCTATATGTATATTTTCATAAAGTCATCTCTGATACTTGGTTATTAAACTTTGATCCTGAAGAATATCACATTTGCAAAACCAGATCTTGAGACCACTCGACAAGGTGTAGTTGTTTTTTTAGCTCAAAGCTACACAAAGGGCTATGCGAGGAATCAAACCCCGGATTTTAACGTTATAAGTTCGTAAGATTTACCACTGGCACGCCGGGGGACAAGAAGATGGAGTCTAAAATAGCAACGGTGTTTGCTTTATATGTACTTTTTGATTTGGCCTATATACCCTTCTAGAAAATTAGTATTTAATCACAAAAACAGCAACAGTTAAAAGTTAACATATGGTCAAAGAAGAAATATGTCTTGCTTATTGCGTAAGTTAATGTTTAACAAAAGCCCAGTATAAAAGTTCTATATTTATTATCAACTACTATAAATCAAGAATATAAGATCATTTTCATATGGCATAAGCAAATTATACCAGTTAAAAACAAAACAACGTAGAAACATTCAATGGTAATGGTGAATTTCCAGTTTTTATTCATAACTGCATGTAGTCGCAAAACCAGTTTAAACCCCAATTTGCACTCGGTGATATTATAACCGCTGTCCTAACAGCCACACTGGTCCACTGCCAGCACTGTCTTCAGAGCGCCTTCTTTTGTTGAGAACGAATGAGTAGAGAATTGCAGAGGCACACATCGGGGGGCGCTTTTTCTCAGGGACATCAAACATCTATTTGAGTCGCTGGGATCTCTGTTTGGAGGAGCAGAAAACAGACATTTCAGCTTATGTTTGTTTATTTGTGGCCTTTCCTTTCAAAAAGTAAAAAGAAAAAGTTTTTACAGCGTCAAGACTAAATTTTTAATTTCCTTTGTCAAATTTCTTTGAAAAGACCATAGAAGTTAAGTTATAATACTACAATAAATATAACTACACAATGAGCTACCTATGCTGTGCCAACCACAGGTATCAAAATCCAATTTTTGGCGATATTAGCCCACAGACATTACCACTGAAACACTGAGGGACTGACTGTTGAATAATTTAGAATAAGAAATTAGTAGGATTAATGCTACATATTCTGTATTCAAATCCTATATATAGATTAGCTATGATGAGCAAAAGACAATTAAAAACACCATACATACATGCTCTAAAACTGCAGATTAATCCAATGAAGATAATGCAATAATTCATACTTGCCGCTTCCCTCCTCTAACTCATATTATATCATACTTATAATACTAAAACATAAAACATGTATTTAAACAATAAACATATCTTAACTGTCAATGGGATTTAATTGCGTCTATTGATAACATAAAAATCATTAACATTTTATATCTTCGCGACCTCCCTTGGGATCAGAACATAATGTTTGGAAAAACAGTACAGTAAGCAATTTCTGGGTATTATTACCATCTTCAAAACAACGGTTCTTCGAAAGAAGCGTAAAACATTCCCCCTTTTAAGGGGAGATTCCGTTTATTTTTAATTTTCATTGCAAACTCCAACATGTCGAATCCCATAAAGTCAACTCTTACACGTCGACCTCTGTAATTAATTGCTAATTGATACCACTATCAAAAGAAAGTGGTAAGCTAATTTTGTGTGTGTGTGTAAGTAAATCTCAAACGTACAATATAATGCTCACGTACACACAGATATACATAATTTTTATCTGGTGTAAACTCAGAAAACGTTTTACATGCGTTAGAACATAACAGTTTTTTCCTATCGAAAAAATTCGCAGTTCGTATCATTTGTATTTTGTTGATGCAGAATTGATAATTAGCCATTGAATAGGAGACTGACTCTTCCACCGTTGAAACAAGCGTAGTTACAGTAACCATTAATATAAATCGTGACAGCTTATGTAACTGATTATTATGTTTCTCTGTGTACAACACTACTGAATTTAAGATGTGTGTGTTCAATTACAGCAGATACTTTAAGAGCCATTCATCGCTACATTCTTTATCATTTATTTCCTAATTTTTATTCTTTTGAAGAGTTTGTGCAGTTACTTGGTTACCGCTATACATAGAAATTATAAGGATTGTTAACTAGATTTGAATATCAAGAGTAAGAAGGATTTTTTTAAGGTCTTTACTTGCTGATTTTGCTGCGGCCACGATAATCATCGCTCATGTGTGCTTGTCTAGAGTTTGAAAGTAATAATTTAAAAAAGATTCTGAAGAATTTCAGTGGGTTTTAAAGAACTTTATGAAAATAATAGAGGAGACGCGATTGGACCTGTGGTAGAACTCTGGATTTCGGAGTTGTCGAGTCGGAATTGAATTAGTGCGATACTACAAACTATTCCCAGCACTTTAAGTTGTGGGTGCGTTATAAGAGTGACAGTCAATCCCTCAACATAGATGGTGTGTGGTAGGGTGCTGCTGACTGGCTCACTTTCCTGTTGTTATTTGTCCACAACGAGGGACGAAAAAAAAACGATTTTATGTTAATAAAAAGTATTGAATATTTTATCAAAATACATTGTTATGAGAAACAAGTACAGTGCCATTCAAATAAATTAGGGTTATCTTCGGAACCATTTATGCCTTTTAGTGGAATAAACAAAATATTTGCATAAACTTCAATTGAACTTTCACACATTTTTAATGCGTGCGTTTTGCTTTTCGAAACGACGACTACTAGTATTACTATTCAAAGCACACGCATTTCGATTAAGTTAGCTATGCTATAAGGACAGAACTAGCGCACATTCGGTAGTTTATTCCATTAAAATATTCCGGTTTAGACATTGAATTAGTTTATTTTTGTTTATACCGATTGTTGAAGAGCTACAACACAACTGACAAACAACTGTCAAGAGTTTTTAATTAGGGCCATCCTGGGATAAGATAGCACTACAAAGAAACTGAAATGTAAACTATCCTTAAAAAAAGATTGAACTTTAGGAAGACTTAGTGATACTAATTTGTTCTAAAAATATTAAGTGCATCGTTCTTATATTCAGCTAAATACAAGATTGAGAATGCTCAGAACTAAACATACAAACCCTCAACTTTCCACACGGCCTATCACGAGAATAGTTAAATAAAACTCAATTAAATCATTATTGGTTTCAAATTAACTGTTTTAAAAATTAAATAAGCAGAGGTTAAATTAATTAAAACTTTAAAATTATAATACATGAGATTTTTCTACCTTATCAATTCATTAATTGATTATTTGTATTTGGCAAATTTCCCCCATTCTCACATCCTCATAGCCTAGGATATCGTGATCAAAAATCATGGTTCCGATTGGTATTAATTCATTTATTTTCACACTGAGGCCATGTTTAGTTCAATGTTTTTCAGAGTAATTAATCTTTCTAGTAAGAAACATTTCTCGTCCATAAAAGACACATTGTAGTTTTTTCTAATAGGCATTACCAAACACTCGGAACATATCGATGAAATGAAATCGTATTTTGCTCTTTATTCTAAAAAGGTTTTATCTAGGAGTGTTGCAACACGTGAAATTATAAATGAAAAAAACGAAAATATTAACACTAAACAACAACCTTTAGACTTTGGTGTTTTCATCAATTACTAGGCAAGTCTTTAATACCTTATTTTCATAAGGTATTCTAACAAACAATCAGTTTCAAATCATAGCTTCTAAAGTATTAATCAATTCTTTTTATGTACAAATAACGCATGATTTCAAATTGATCCTAAAAATTCACAATCTTTTCTTTATTCTTAAATGATTGAATTAAGAATGATCTTCAAATTTAAAAACACAACACAGAATAATTAATTCAAAATTGCTTTTTTACGTTTTGCAAGTTTTATTAGAGATTAACTATAGATTAGCCAAAGTCAAAAAGTGATTTCTCAAGTATATTGAACTACACTATTGGCTAGTTAAAGATGGAGTCTTAAAGTTTCTGGAGTGGAAGCCAAAACGCGGAAGCCATCAATAGCACTCCTTTGCTTATGTAATTTCGGAAACTTGGTATTTACATCCCGCAGAGCAGTAGAAAGTTAATGTTCAAGGGAATATTTTGTTCTTAAAATTTATTGAAAGCATATAAATTGTCAGTAGAGTCTATGAAAATTATAAAGGCAAGCCAAAAAAAGTAAATCCGGTTTCTTTAACAAGGTAATGAGCTGATGTTTTTACTTCCATTATGCAATATTCGTAGATCTCGTTAGATGGCTAGTTTGTTGAATGTTAATCACCAATAGCATATAGCTCGAACACCATACCATCTTAAGACTAAATCAACTAAATGCTGAAATATAATAAGATTATAAAAATGAACTATTATTTTTAAAACTTTCAATACTTTATCAAACGTATAAAGTAAAAATGAAATTGCTGAAACTTATGAAGTTCTATAAGAACCTTTTCTTATACACCCCTGAGAAGGTTTGTCAAAAAAACTCATGCAAAAAAAAAAATTTGTTTGTATGGAATTTCGCGCAAAGCTACACGAGGGCTATCTGCGCTAGCCGTCACTAATTTAGCAGTGTAAGACTAGAGGGAAGGCAGCTAGTCATCACCACTCACCGCCAACTCTTAGGCTACTCTTTTACCAACAAATAGTGGGATGGACCGTCACTATATAACGCCCCCACGGCTGAAAGGGCGAGCATGTTTGGTGTGACGGGGATTCGAACCCGCATCCTAACCACCTGGCCATGTGCCAAAAAAAAAGCGGTAAATAAACTCTAAACTGAAGAGTAAAGGTAAAAAAATAACAAAGAAGAAGATAAAAACAAATTTTCTTAGCATATTCAGAAAAAATATCTGAATATCAAATTTAATAAATCTAAAATTTTAAAAGTTGTTTAAGGTCATTTCTATAAAAATCTGTTTATACTTCTTATAACTAGAATAGAACGTATGAACAAATAATAAGCTTTACAACAGTTGTAAATTTTCTGGGATACAGTTATTTATAAAAAACAGCATAATACAGCAAAGTCAGCCGATAGTAATTTAGTTTCAGAACACACTATGTTAATGTAAATATTGTTTCTTCAAATACGTTTTTAAACATCCGAGCACTAAAAATAGCGCCGGATAACTTCATATGGATTTCCTTCTGTGATATAATACGCCATTTCTATTGTTTTCAGTGTGTTAAATATTATGACGAGTTGCTTTTATTAATTTTTCGAGTAGGTGGGAGTTGTTCAACTACTTGCCTTTTCTTGACCCTTTTTTATATCCGTTTCAGTTATGAAAATATAATCTCATTCAACATTTTCTCTGTAAAGTTCACACACATTTTCTTGCGTTTCCTCAACAAAATCTTTAAAAGATATAACGAGAAAAGTTGGACAATAAACGTTCGAATATGTTGGAAAAGTAATTTTGTTATTTTATCTTTCATCAAATTCCAATGTAATTGTATGAAATACTGTTTTATTTTTTAAAAAATCAACTTACAGACACACGAGTGGGTGAGTAAGAGAAATTTCCACCATTAATTAGATTAATAACCAGCCCCTCAAAGTTGCGATTCTATGCGAGCTGATGAAAAACTTAACCAGCCAATTAAAATAAAATTTTATGCTACTATTGTTAACAGTATCACAAACAATCATATTGCATATATTTGTACGTATTAACAAAGGAGACGGTACAATTAAATAAAGTATAATAAATTAATAAAAACTTTTTTGATGCGATTCCATGTAAAGAATGTTAAATATGAAAACTTGTCAAATATTTGCCCTCTATAAACACTTTCAACAGACGTAAAGAGCTCATTGGCCTTCAAACTGTTATTTTTTTTTTCTGTTTTGAAGCAGAGAGAGAGAGAAATTATTTTCCTAGAGGTCACTTGCATCCGCTTTAAAAAGGGGAATTCCTTACCTGTAGATGCCACTATAAGTCTAACGCTGTGTCAGAAAAATATATTATATCTGATGTTACCTTATCATAATCAAGTTGTTCATACTAAGTAGATATTGTAGGGATTCAAAGGACAAACGCGCCACACAACAGTACGCATTAAACGACATTCTCATCATACATTCTGACTGAATCTCAGTCAATATTTCCTTAGTTAAAAAACGAAACTCATTAGCTATTGAACAGAGAGGTTGAATTTTAAACAGATTTTTTTCTTTCGCTCTGCAATATGTGGTTTAAAATAATTAGAAATTGGTTTATGATCGCTTCCAGATAATAGAAATGAAGTTGGTTTTACCTTAAAACGCACTGGAACTGATCTTCTTTAAAATCTTCACAGCTTCCTACACATCTTCCAACGTCAATATCCTGGACGAGAGATAAAATTAATCAGATTAAGTACGTTACCATTAAAATTATCGAAGAAATGGTTTATAAAAGTTAATTCTGATTTGGAACAACGTACCAGAAAACAAATTACACAAAACTAAGTGGTTCGTGAATCTTCTGCGGTGAATTATATCGCAAATTTTCAGAAACTGGCCAAAAAAAAAAGCTTTGAGATTGTAAATAGGCCTATATAGTTTTAAAGAATCAAAGTTAAATGCATTAAAGAAGTAACTATAAAAATAAATGAATATAAGAACTAAATATTAGAAGTCACATTTATTAAATGGAAGAAATAACATAAATGTAGCACAGATACCTAAGGATGTAACTAACTGGTGGTCACATTTAACAACATACATCATGTAGTGTTGACACTAAAAGATGTCTTTCTGTATCTAATTCGTGTTGACATTTGATAAAAGATCTCGTGTAGTGCCAACATTATTTGGTGTATCTGCTCATTCATCAAACAAGTGTTAACATTCCAAAACATACGTGTTGGGTGTATCTGTTTGTATATCTAATAACTGTTGACATTTAACAACAGACGTCGTTTAGTGCTGATTCTATAAGGTGCTCTGATTAGTATTGAAATTTAATAATAGGCATCATGTAGTGATGATATTAGAGGAGGTATTTCTTCATATATACAAATGTACTTAATTACCGTTGATATATGCTGACATCGTGTAGAACTAACATCATAAAGCTTATCTGTTCATATATTTTATTACTTTTTAATATTACTTTAAATTAATCATGAAAATAAAACTATTCTCTGAGAACAAAATGTGAACTAAAAGAATTAAGCAAAGTTACGAGCACCCACTCTTCACTAAGTAATTTAGAGTGCACATACAATGAAAATGATAATGCATATTTTAGAATAAGGTTATTACATTCTCTAGTTTTCAAAAGCTAATATAAAGCCCTATATAATTATCGTTGACATATACTATAGAATGTTTTAGAACCTTCGATTACTGTTTAATTAACAATAAAATATATTGATTTAAAAAAAAAGATGTTGTTGAAGTTAAGCACAAAGTTACACAATGGGCTATCTGTGCTCTGCCCACCACGGGTATCGAAATCC